GATTGCCCCAATATCGATTCAGTTCCAAATCGTTTCGGTGCTCTATAATTCCACCTTAAGCCAATTTAACAACACCGGCACTTGACCCGGCCATCAGTGTATCATAATAAAAGCTATAATTTCAGCAATCTAGAAACACCGGACACCGACAAACAAACAAACAAAGGCTTAGTGTGACTCGGTTCGATTTTCAAAATAATACTTAATGGCCGTAAAATTATATGGTACAGTACAGTAGCCAAGTGTCCTTCGGATGCGGATCCGGATCCTTCTGCTTTTGTGGCCCCAACATTCGGAGCTTATGACCGTAGAGAGTGGCTGCCATAATCGTTCTGCGGTTTGATGTTTGCCTTCCGAAAGATGATTACAAATAATCATACAGTGCGTTTCATTGGAGTAGGAGCTTTCGTTTCACTTGCAAACTTAAAGGTTAATTCATTAGTTAATTACACAATTTGCACAAGGAGAGAGAAAAGGAGTTATTTTAATCAACTCGAAATTGAGAATAATATTTAAAGAACAAATTATTGGCACTACAAAATAATGACTTTTTAAATAGAGCTTAAAAAATATTGGCACTATCGATATATTCGATATGTTTCAAACATGGATATTATTCATACCATATTGTAAACATATTGATAATATCGATATTTTTCAAGCTTCACTTCAGCTGTAATAATAACATATTTTTCCCTAACTGTAAGAACTATTTTCAATCTTGTAAAATCCCGTCTTAAAAGCAATAATCTTGATTAGTTTTAACCCAAACCGTAAACAATGGACCTTTAATAGAAGGCCAAACAAAGGTCCGTGCCCTATTATTTATGCAAAACGCTACATCAATTCATTAAGGATGTACAAATAATTTTCAATTTGGCAAACAAACCGAGGAGAAAAGCTCTTGAGTCGAAACATAAGCGCTCACCCAGAATGATTGAATATTCTACACCAATTTTATATCAATTCCATCTTATTTTCCTGACCCCAAGCAGTTGGCCCCTGTCCATCCATCATTTTCACCGGTCAGCCAAAGGAGACTTGATATGTGTCTATATCATTGTCTCAACCTTTTGTCGGCGGGGGTGTCGATGTTTTCATGGGCGTGTGGAGAATTTTCAACTCAGCGCAGGCGAGAGACTCTTAAAATGGCCATAAAGCAAATTGTGAAAAATTATTGTGTGTATAAAATTTAATGACATGTCAAAAAGGATATCCGGCATACGCTGCTCCTTCGGCTGTTGCTGTTGCCTTGTGGCCAGCCGTTGACGAGCTGGACAAATGGCCGAGGTCCTGTTGTGGCCATCAGATCCTCGTGGGCGGACGTGTAATGTCCTGTAAGTCCTGACAATTTTAGTCTAGTTGCCGGCGTATTTGTATTTACTTCTCTTTGTGTCCAAGCCGAGGCCAACACATAATCAAGCGCAACTTTATTATTTTGTCCCAGCAACAACTACGTTCGTCTCTGTGTGCCGGGGTTATTTTTATGCCCGGCTCAGCCGGTCTCTATATGTATGGCATATATGGTATAACCTCATATATATATATAGCTGTCTGTTGTGCGGTCTTTATGCCCGTCATCATTATGCTCTCTTGCCTTGGCTTGTTTGCTATTTGCCAGTTGCCATGTTCCATGCTCCATGTGCCATGTTCCGAGCTGCACATTTTATAGTTTTCAAAAGTCACAAAAATGTCAATTGCTTGTCTTGCCCTCCACCCGCTACTCCTCCGCCTCCTCCTCCCCCTCATCTTCGTCCTCCAAATGGCATTGAATAAATTATATTGTGGTCATAAAGTTGCTGCACCATGTTTACCACACAGATAGATATAGCCATGTCCATGCTCATGTCCACGTCCATGCAGAGACAGAAATGGGGTGTTAAAGGATCTAATATCATATTATTCATACTACGATTGTATTATAATAAAATTGTATTGATAAAAAATTTATTAATGATCTTATCTCTTTACAATGATGTTACAAAAATTGTTAGTGAACTTAATATAAATTTTATAATGAGCTTACAAAAATTATAAATGGAAATATCTCTTCATGATGATATTACAAAAACCATTAGTAAAATTCAAATAAATTGTATAATGAGTTAACAAAATGTATCAATGAATATATCTCTTCATAATGATGTTACAAAAATCATAAGTAAACTTCATATAAATTTTTTATTAATAATAGCTTTAATAACTGATTTTATAACATAAGCGATTTCTTTGTTCTTCATACTTTTAATGCATTTTCTTTTACATATTTATTTTTAGTTTCTGTGTAGCTGATGTCATAACGTTTGGGGAACAGCTATCTTGACATCTTATCCTGGTCCCTGACTGAAATCGTTCTATTTGCATGTAGTTAAAAAAGGAGGGGGAGTCAGTCAGCTAATCAGCGACAGGAATTGATTTTGGAGAACGACAGTTGTTGGATCAACAAATTACACCACCCACTTCAATAATGAGAGGCCATTAAGTGATAAATTATGGCCGAGCATGTGACCGGGGACTTTTTGAATTTTAATCAAGCTAAAATTTGAGGCAGTTGCCATCGGGTCAGGGTCGAAAGCCATAATTTCACTTTCATTACTCTCTCGCTGCTCCTTGGAATGTCCTGTTAATGTGCCATGCTCGAGTGGAGCATAAATCTATTTATGCGGTCCTCCGCAAGCTTTTCGCTCCGGCTTGAACCCTTGGTAATTGAAAATATTTGAAATAATTCATAAAATTTTTATGTGATTTCTACCCCGAAAAATGAAACTATAACTGCGAGGGGGGGTGAGAAGTCATGTCTCGACTTATCAGATCGTATAATTTAGCGCAGATAATTGTTTTAATGATGTCATAATTTCGCCTTGATGGCGTGCTTACAAAATGGCTTCAACTGATTTATGCTCCATTCCGATTCGAATGCCCCGTGCCCATGCCCCCTCCGGAGTTACAGAGTCCCCGAGTGCGGAGGCGTCAGCCGGGGGGCTTGTGCACTTGTAGATACCGCAGATAGTGGCATACGTAACCAGTTTGCCGCTCGACAAAAGAGTAAATAACGGCATTGCATGATTTATGTGGCCAAACAAAGCGCAACAAAGCGAAGTACAGTGGAAGAAAATAGAGTCTTTAATCTCTGTGGGTCTGTAATTAAGATTTTCTTATTTTTAAAATCTTTTAATATTTAAATTTTAGGTTTTACAAATTTTTAAATATTTTTTGTTTGTAAAATAATCTCAGAACATATTCTTATTTAAATATAATTTATTAATTTTATTTACCTAATACAAGCTAGATTATTTATTTTATTACAAAATGCTGTTGTAAAATGCGGGAATCTTTTTCTGTTAATTATTTAGTTCTTCTAAGTTGGTGATTAATTTTAATGCAATTTTTCTTTATGTTAGAAGTTTTTTCACTCCGTTTTATAATTGTAAAAATACCCATTAAATCATTTTAACTTCATTGGCTATTTATTAGTCAGTAATAAAACTTCAAAGCCTTCAGTAAAATAAATATTTAATCTATAAATAAATTTATGAATGTGTATAGTGTAGTACCCACACCATTGCCCCCGGGCAATGAGAGCCGGGCCACCTGAGTGCCTGACTGACTGTCCCTGCTCCACATATCTGGCAGGGCGAGATTGTGTGGGCGCTAACCACTTGAAAACGTTAAATAAGTTGTCTAACCACACATTAAACCAATTTGGCACTGCGCTGGCCGCCAGTCTGGCACCTTGGATTGTGCCAGCAGGTCCTGCCAGCTCCTCCTCCTTCGTCCTTTGTCCCGCCCACCGGCAGGATCCCCGTTTTGGACCCGCCCACTCAAGTCCCTGGCTGCCATAAATCATAGGGCGACCCACGTATGTGACTACTTGGGCTAGGGGATCGATAAATTATTATTAGTTGGTCTGTCCAAAGGTCCCGAGTCCTTCCCTTCCTTTCCTTGCCTTTTTGGCCAACCTCCTTGTTGGAGGCGCGTGCAAAGGAAGTTGTTAGATCCCAGAAAGGAGCGCTGACCGAAATCCTTGGCTCCTTCGCTGCGGTTCAAATGCCTTTTAACTTAACAACTTTTTTTGTTCTGCTCCTGCCAACACCAAACAGCGACCCACGCCAAAATATCCAGACACCCGCACCACCCATTCTCGCAAATCAATGGGTGACTTTGTTCCGGGCGGGTAGATGCACTGCGAAAAATATTTATAAATGTTTTTATCTTAGATTTGTTTTAAGAAAAGTGATATATTTAATTCGTCCTAAATTTATTTATTTACTTAATATTTATTGATGCATTTTTTTTACTTGTTTTTAATTTAACTATTATTTTGTATTTATTTTTTTTAACTTATTTTTTTACTTTTCTATTTATGTATTAACATATGTATATATTGAATGATTTATTTTGTTTTTTTTTTATTTATTTCTTTTTCGTGTCTTTTAAATTTAGATATACGGTTCCTGCTCAAAATCATCCGTCATCTAACATTCTTTTTAAGTTTATTTTATAAGTTTGTTGATTAGTTATTATATCATCTTTATTTTTTCACTGCAGGGATAAAGGGGCTGAGAAGGACATGGCAGGCCAGGGCCAGGAACCCTTAACGTTGTGTGTAAAGTGGACTTGACATGAGATTAACATCTTCAAAAGCATAGCTTAAAGTATTTGTTAGAGTTCGCCGAAGTTGCGCCTGGCAGCGAGCAAAGGTGGCAGGTGGACCGGGACCCAGGACGAAATTAAGGATCCCCGGGTCGAGTCCTGTGTCCTGACCAACCCACTGACCCGCGCCTCTCTCCTTTCGTTTTTGGATAATTGCGTTCTTGTGCGCTGAGCCATGAGCTTAACTGTTGCTGTCATAACTAAGCGAAAAGGTACACAATTTATGGAATCGAGTCCAAGTCCCATTCCCATTTCCCTTTTCCCATTTCCCATTCCCAACAGGTGCTTAGCCCCAAAAACAGTTAGTTTATGGTATAACAATTTTTGTTGGATTTATTCGTTGATTTCAATCGTTAAATAATAGCAAAACTTACGGCCTAATAGTGGTTGGTGGGGGTGAGAGTGGTTCGAGTCGTGAACGAGGTTCTGTTCAGGTACAGGTTTTAATAGCATTCGTCCTTCTATCCTCACTTACAGAGCACGGCGATGACGCAGCTTCAGGCGGCGGACAGTCTTGTACTTGTATCCATCAGCAGAGAGCACGGCGGAGTCCTGGGAAGCTTCCTCGACGGGCGCATCAGCCACCACCTCCTCCACCTCCTCGGTGGGCGGCAGGTAGTCGCCGGCAATCTCGGAGACATCGCGGCGCTGGCGGTACTTCAGGCGACGCACGGTCTTGTACTGGTAGCCATCGGCAGCCAGGACGGCGGAGTCCTGAGAAGCTTCCTCAACGGGAGCCTCCTCCAAAGGAGCCTCGGTGACGACCTCCTCCGAAGGGGGCAGGTACTCGTTGGCGATCTCGGAAACATCCCGACGCTGGCGGTACTTCAGGCGGCGGACAGTCTTGTACTGGTATCCATCGGCAGCCAGGACAGCGGAGTCCTGAGAGGCCTCCTCAACTGGAGCTTCCTCAACGGGGGCTTCGGTGGCAACATCCTCAACTGGGGGCAGGTATTCGTTGGCGATCTCGGAGACATCACGACGTTGACGGTACTTCAGACGACGAACGGTCTTGTATTTGTATCCATCAGCAGCCAGAACAGCGGAATCCTGAGAAGCTTCCTCAACGGGGACCTCCTCCACTGGTGCATCAGCAACAACTTCCTCAGTGGGGGGCAAGTACTCATTGGCGATCTCGGAGACATCACGACGCTGGCGGTATTTAAGGCGACGCACGGTCTTGTACTGGTAACCATCGGCAGCAAGGACAGCGGAATCCTGGGAAGCTTCCTCCACGGGGACTTCCTCAACTGGAGCATCGGCGACAACCTCTTCGGTGGGGGGAAGGTACTCATTGGCGATCTCGGAAACGTCACGACGTTGGCGATACTTCAAGCGGCGGACAGTCTTGTACTTGTATCCATCAGCGGAAAGGACAGCAGAATCTTGGTTAGCCTCCTCAACGGGAACCTCCTCAACTGCGGCATCAGCAACAACCTCCTCCGAAGGGGGAAGGTACTCGTTGGCGATCTCAGACACATCACGACGTTGACGATACTTCAGACGACGCACAGTCTTGTATTGGTATCCATCGGCAGCAAGAACAGCGGAATCTTGGCTAGCTTCTTCAACTGGAGCTTCCTCAATGGGGGCTTCGGTGGCAGCATCCTCAGTAGGAGGCAGATACTCGTTTGCGATCTCGGAGACATCACGACGCTGACGGTACTTTAGGCGACGCACAGTCTTGTACTGGTAACCATCGGCAGCAAGGACAGCGGAATCCTGGGAGGCTTCCTCTACGGGAGCTTCTTCCACGGGGGCTTCTTCGGCAACAACTTCCTCAGAGGGGGGCAGGTAATCGTTAGCAATCTCAGAGACATCACGACGTTGACGGTACTTCAGGCGGCGGACAGTCTTGTACTTGTATCCATCAGCGGAAAGAACAGCGGAATCCTGGCTAGCTTCCTCAACGGGAACCTCCTCAACTGAAGCATCAGCGACAACCTCTTCGGTAGGAGGAAGGTACTCATTGGCGATCTCAGAGACATCACGACGCTGGCGGTACTTCAGACGACGAACGGTTTTGTACTGGTATCCATCGGCAGCAAGAACAGCGGAATCCTGAGAAGCCTCCTCAACTGGAGCTTCCTCAATGGGGGCTTCGGTAGCAGCATCCTCAGTAGGGGGCAGATACTCGTTGGCAATCTCGGAGACATCACGACGTTGGCGGTACTTTAGACGGCGGACAGTCTTGTACTTGTATCCATCGGCGGAAAGAACAGCGGAATCCTGGCTAGCTTCTTCAACGGGAACCTCCTCAACTGGGGCATCAGCAACAACCTCCTCCGAAGGGGGCAGATATTCGTTGGCGATTTCAGACACATCACGACGTTGACGGTACTTCAGACGACGCACAGTCTTGTATTGGTATCCATCGGCAGCGAGAACAGCGGAGTCCTGAGAAGCCTCCTCAACTGGAGCCTCCTCAATGGGGGCTTCTTCGGACACAACCTCCTCCGAGGGGGGCAGGTAATCATTGGCGATCTCGGAGACATCACGGCGATGACGGAGCTTCAGGCGGCGCACGGTCTTGTAGCGGTATCCATCGTCTCCCAGGGCGGCGGGGTCTTGGGCCAACTCGGCGCCAACTTCCTCCGACGGCGGGATGTACTCGTTCACGAGCTCGGAGACGTCACGACGGTGCCTGGCTTGTTCGACAGGAATCACTGCAGCCGTCGCGGCGGCAATAAAGATGCACGCTAAGAAAAGTTTCTAAAATTCGGATGGAAATGAGATATTAGTTGAAGTATTCCTGGTGGTCGGGCATCCTGCTGCTGGGATATTCACCATTTTGCTATAGATCTCCAAGCTAATTGCTTTGACGGTGGAATCTATGGGTCGAATGATTAATCGTCGCAATTTGTCCGCATATTTATACGCTCCAATGTTTGCCAGCTTCAAGCTTCAAGCCAAACAATGACCAGCGGCTCTGTTTGCCGGCAAACAGCGGCGGAAACCGAAATCGAAACCGATTCCGAATCGGTAACAAAGCAATGAATCTGGCCAAAGCCCCAACATGCGCCACTCGAGCCCTCAAGTGCCCGCGTCACCCTCGCAGTCTCCCAACTACATCTTCACGTGGAGATTAAGCCCAGCTGGGAGCCGGTTTGGTTCACAGCACAGTGGGAAAAGTGAAAAAAATGAAAATGATCATATATAAAACTAAACAGAAATCTATCATTTCTAAAGCTGATTTGTATTATTAGAAATTGAAATATATATTATTGAGTATTTATACTTAGCTTTATCATACTTTATTATTATTTCATACCTTAACCACCTATTATTTCTTTGCTACCTTTAAGAAATAGATTAATACTAAAGTTACTCAAGAAAATATTTAAAAAAAAAATAATATCTTTAAAATACTTTTTAAGTACTTTATACATAAATCACATATGACTTCTTTGCAATGATATAGCCACTTTAAAGAAATCGATCTTGTATCATATCACAAATGTAAGGCTTATGTGTTAAAATAAAAATTCTTTTCCTTTTTCAAGAACTATCTTACAAAATTAAAGTTCTAGTCCCATATGCTATTTTCAGTAACTTAACTCATTTTTAGCCGAAATTTTCTCATTTTATCCCATAGTGCTTAGGTGGAGTTGCCCGAAGATTGCCCAGTGCGGAACTAAATGCTCTACGTTTCGCTTTCGTTTGTCGTTCGCTTGCCACTTCGATCGGATTCGATTGCTATTTGGTATATTTGGTATAGCTTAAGATATGGCTTCACGGTCAAGTGCGAGCATCGGACCTCTTAACAAGATCTAATGCAAAAAAAAAAACACAATGGTATTCGAACATTTTAATGGCAGCGTACGTTTACGTTTGCTCGCACAGCACTGGCATTTATTAATAGTTTTTCGGAACGTTAATTTCTGAAGTGGCTATCGGTAATTTGCGTACTATTCGATTTTTGGAGTTCAACGAACCGCTCAAGATTGATGGTTGGCAAAAGGTCGCACGGGCAGCACGACGTATTTGTTTAATGGGTTTCGCTAATAAGATTTCGAATTTGTTTTAATTTGTTCCGTTTTGTCATTCATACAGGATTTGGTTATTTTATTTAATGAACTGGGGAATGTGGGGAAAACTTACGTAGTGGAATTGTTTTTGCGAAAATAATTACCATATTAACAGTAAATATTCATTACAATATTAGTAAAATATATTATTCAAAATTTTACACAAGAGCTTCCTTAAATTTGAAACTTAATTGATTTTTAAATCAATAAACAAAAATGATTAACAATGAAAATAGGGTTTTTTAAAATACAATAATCAAGTTTAAAGGCTTTTTTTGTTTTTATTTTTAAAAGTTTGAGTGAAAACATAAAGAAAAAAATCTTTTTTAAATTGTAATTTTAATTTCTTAAATGTTAAATGGCATTAAAAACATTTATTGGATAAATTTTAATTTCAATTCAAATTGTTTATAATTATTCTAGTTTACCGTCGTCATCGATAACCTTATCCTCTCTGCTAAATCGGCTAATTGTGCAATGGCGGAGTTTTATGGCCCGTAGAGTTGTTGTAATAAACTGCGTGTGTCCTGTGGCCCGCATCCTGTTAACGGCTCCTTACGACAGGGATATCAAAGATTTTATACCGAAAATATGCTGCACGCGAAAAGGACGAAGACGAGAAAACAACGGAGGAGCAGCTTACAAGTTGGGAGCATGTTATGCGCTGCCGAAAAACTTTGGCTATGAAATTCATAAACTTGGCAAAACAAGCTTGCTGGCGGCAGGAAAAGGACGAGAAGAAGCGGTGGTACAACCTCCTGGAGAAGTCGCAGTTGGCTGGGGAAACTTTTCACAAATCATGCATATGATGTTGGGGGCACTTTCACTTTGGCGCTCCCGAGGGTCCCACGAACATATTTCCCTCCGCCTAGCGGCCTTGGACTAATTAAAGAGACAAAACTGCGTAAGTTTTTCGGGTCTTTCAAGAGTCATCGTCATCGTCATAGAGCCATCTTGAGTTTTTTGCCCCGAAATGTGTGTCAAGTGGCAGCAGCGAGTGCAAAACAAAGCAAATGGGGTGTGCAATCTGCTGTAAACAACCATAAATTTTGCCTGCTTTGGGTTTTCGACTTCGGCTGGAGTTGCTAGGGGAACTATCGCCCTCATAAAGGGGCCAAAAAAATATATAATATATATGAATATAACACTCCCGATCCCCGGACAGCGGCGTCCTTATCGCAATCACTCACATCGCCACTTGTGAAATCGTGGCAGGCCACAGAGATGAGGATGCAAATACAGTGGAGCTTCCATAACATGAACTTCATTTAAGTAAAGTTAAACTAAGTGAATGGAAATATATGTTGTTGTAAATGCCCTTAAATCGTTTTAAAACATAAACATATAATATTTAAAAAACATAAAAATAAAATTAAAGTTAAATAAATTTAGCCCATATATATCACTATGGACGGCAGTCCATGTAGTGACGAAGCGCACCAGGAGAGTGTGCGAAGGCGACTACTATTATATAGCCGCAAAATTGAAAATCTGCTGTGATAGTCCGATCGTAATGAGTAATACACCAATCGAAAGGTATTGCAATAACTTAAAGGATTGCATACCAAGACTTTAAGAAAATCAATTGGCTTGGGAGAGAGAGCGGCGAAAGTGAAAAAATGAAAATTTCGAAATTTGGAGCTGTTGGGGCCGGTGGGGATAAATTCCCCCTCGCAATGTTTTAGTTGTATTCCTTTTGAAAATACCCGTCGAATGAGGGGTCATTTGTCAAAATCCGACGCTCCGTTCAAAAGTTATAGCCAAAATAAGATTTCCTTCTTCTTCCCAAAATGAAAATTTAATTCTGTTTGTCAGTTTGTCAGTTTGTCAGTTTGTCAGTTTGTCAGTTTGTCAGTTTGTCCAAAACATGTTTCTTAAGTTTTGAAAATTTAATATGACGTTCATCCCATCGATATAAAAAACTTTTGTTCTACCACTTTTGGAAAAACTCGCTAGTTTAGCGGGAAAACAGCTATAAATAGCTAAAATTCGGAAAACCGTAACTTCTATACTACTAAAGCTACAGACTTGTGCTGCATCTTGTTTGAAAGGTATTTTTAAAAGCTATAAACGCCTTCTATATGCAATTTGTGTAAATGTAATAATTAAAAAGATATGAACAAAAGACAATTTTTTTTAAATTTTTTTTTTAGCTTTTTTTTATTTTTTCTCAAAAACGGCTCTAACGATTTTCTTGAAAACTTTAAACTGTATAGCCCTTGAGATTCCTTAAATTTTGGTATATAACACATTACTGTAAAAAGTCACGTTTAAAAGTTATTTTTATACGAAAATAGCCACTTTTGCCAGCTCGAACAACTAAAGCTTCCTGGGTATTGAATTTTGTGTGAGGGTATCCGAACTGTATTTTAGGGTCATGGAATCAGTAAATTTGCACTTAAGAGTTCCATATAGGAATCTTTTGTTCTACGACTTTTGGAAAAAGCCGCTACTTTAGCGGGAAAAAGCTAAAAATAGCTAAATTTCGTTAGTTTGTAAGTTCTACACTACTAAAGGTACCGACATGTGCTACACCTCGTTTAAAAGGTATTTTGAAATACTTAAACGCCTTTTTAACTTAATTTGTTTAAATACAATGGCTTACAAATTATGATTGACCAATTTTAATTTAAATGTATATATTAGCTCCTATGAAAGCAAATGTAAACAAACAAAAACTTCTGATATAAAATAAAAACACCTCTTAACGAGGTAAAAAACTAGTGACGATCGCACCTTCAACATACAAAAGTTCTGATATCAACATTTGTGACGAAAAATTATTACACTCTTCATTAAATAGACTTTCTAATATTTTCTCATTCGGCCCGCCCTAGCAAACTATTCCAGCCTTTTTCCCTTCACAGGCATTTTCTATTGCAGCGCGCCGAATAAGAAAATATTAGAAAGTCTATTTAATGAAGAGTGTAATAATTTTTCGTCACAAATGTTGATATCAGAACTTTTGTATGTTGAAGGTGCGATCGTCACTAGTTTTTTACCTCGTTAAGAGGTGTTTTTATTTGATTACATAATATGGAAAAAAGTTAACAAAATGGTTTTTGTACAATAACATAATAAATCAATTGAATTGATTTGATTTCAAATCATTTGATTTCAAAATCATTTGAATTGATTTGAATCATGATTCAAATCATTTGATTTTATTTCAAATCATTTGAATTGATTTGATTTGATTTGAATCATGATTTGAAATCAAATGAATCAATCAAATGATTTGAAATCAAATCAATTCAATTAATTTGAATCATGATTTGAAATCAAATTTGATTTGAATTATGATTTGATATTATTGAATCATTGATTTGAATTAATTTGAATTATGAATTGAAATCAAATGAATCAATCAAATGATTTGAAATCAAATCAATTCAAATCAAATCAATGCAATTGATTTGAATCATGATTTGAAATCTAATTTGATTTTATTTGAATCATGATTTGAAATCATTGAATCATTGATTTGAAATCAAATCAATTCAAATCAAATCAAATCAATGATTCAATGATTTCAAATCATGATTCAAATCAAATTCAAATGATTTGAAATCAAATCAATTCAAATCAAATTCAATTGATTTGAATCATGATTTGAATTTGATTTTATTTGAATCATGATTTGAAATCAAATGATTCAAATCAAATTCAAATGATTTGAAATAAAATCAAATGATTTGAATCATGATTCAAATCAATCAAATGATTTGAAATCAAATCAATTCAAATCAAATCAATTCAATTGATTTGAATCATGATTCAAATCAAATCAAATTTGATTTC